GAGAGAGAGAGAGAGAGAGAGAGAGAGAGAGAGAGAGAGAGAGAGAGATTCTTTTTTTTTCTGTTTTTTTCCTCCGATCGGCCCCACAAGGCCCAATGTTTTGTTGTTGCCAACCCTCTCCGGGACCCCTGAAGTTTGTGCTTGACGTCATTTTCCGGAATGGGACTACAGCTTGGAAAGGGAGTGGTGGTTTAATTTTAATTTCGACCATTTCTCAATTTATGTGTGTCATCCTTTCACAGCGGCTCTGCTAATCTTCATTCTCTGTACCGTTCCAATTTTGACGGCTGTCCTGAAGGCCCTCTGATCATTGATTTCTTTTTTTCTTTTTTTTTTCTTTTCAAAAGTACAGCTGTCTTCTTCTCATATATAGGGGACAAGCTGTATTTTTGCTACCCTATTTTCTTCTCTCAATCTTGTCTACCTCACCCTAGCTACCTACCTAATGGGCCACAACTATTCCTGAAGAAGCACTTTTTCTATTCAGGAGCCAACCTTTAATGAACTATCTATGCCTAAGCTATCGTAACGGAGTTGTCTCCAGCTGATCCGGCGTTAGCTGTGGATGACCGCCACCACGTTTTTGTCGGTAAGATCGGGAGATCGTGGGGGTTGACGATCCGAAGGTGGGGTTGGCGGGATGCGACATCCATGACGGGAATTTTCATTTTTTCCAATTTGACATCCGTCACGCACTGCAGGTTTCTGCTGTTGTCTACACCGAGAGATTGTGTGCATTTGCTGTTGTGTGGTGTGCACCTTTTCGTTGCCCTTGCCCCCTCTATGCCTAATAAGCTATCCAAAGGTTATGGGTCTGCTCGGCTCTGTGCGGGGAGGAGCAGCACCCAAGCTCCTAACACCTGGCGCGGGCTGGAAAGTGCACGGATACTGACACTTCCACAACCAGCCAGGAGGGACAAGCCGACTTTCTCACTCCGCAAACCCGAAGTATGCCCCACAATGGACGCCGTGGGAAATCGAACCCACGACCTCCTGTGTACCACTTTTACGTGCGCAACCAACTGAGCTGGGCCGCTTGGTTTCTGATCATTGATTTCTAATTTTCTTTCCGCAAGTAAGATTTTCTTGGCCTGCGTTCAGCAAAAAGAAAAGTTGAAAGTTGAAAGTGGAAACCTGAACAAAGTTTATTTCTAGTTAAATTTAGTATATGTGTACTGTCGTGAACGATTTATGCGACAGCTGCACAATCGTGCATTCGTTTTTTCTTTTGTACAAAAACAATTCCGAGGAAAACGTCTCGATATTTTGCTTCCATCCTAAAAAGTATCCAGTGTTTCCACATCTTTTCAACAAGAAATCGAGCTTCAGCTCGTATGTTTTCTACTTTGGCAAAATATTCATGGTTGAATGATGGTTCCGCTTTCCCTTCTTGCGAAACGAACACACAAACAAACAAACAAACAAACAAACAAACAAACAAACAAACAAACTAGATTCATGATTCTGCTTTCCTCTCTTGCAATAACAACAACAAAAAAAAAGATTCTGCTGTCCCCCAAGACTTCTTGAAATTTTATTTTATTTTCACCTGTGTTTTTCTCTTCAATGTCTTCAGAGCAAGACAAAGGGCGGCGGTGTGGTCTATGTACCACAGGGAAGATGGTTGACTGGTTCATTCAACCTCACAAATCATGTGACGCTCTTCATTTCAAAAAGAGCGACCATTTTAGGAAGTCAGGTAAGACTATTTGGAGTTTCTATTCTCCTCCCCTCCCCCCCCCCCCCCCCCCCGCCCCCCCTGCCTCTCTTCGGTCCCCGCTTCTCCCAAATCAACCTTCTTGGTGGGGTGATGATCTGATGATAATGGCATCACTAACACATCCATTTCAACTTTCAATGTTTGAATTGAGCTATTTGATAAACCACCCACTGCATCCAAACTCCTATGTTGCCGAGCCTCTCGTTCGCCACAGGGTGGACTGACAAAACCTCGTGCGGACTCAAAAAAAAAAAAAAAGAAAAAAAAAAAGAAAAAAAAAAAAGAGAGAAACTTTTAAAAAGGATGCTTGCAAGGGGAAACTGTAGCAATCTGAACTGCAGGGATTTGTAATCTGGCCGGTTCAGGCTAGCCGATGCGTTTTTTTTTTGTTTGTTTGTTTGTTTTTGTTTTTTTTCTTAAATATGCGGCTCCTTCATGCTGCCTTCACCCACTACGTGAGTGCCTGCGGTCCCCGCTGTGCTTGGGCGCAAAACCCCAAGGGTCGTGGAGTGCCCTCTCGAGGGTATCCGGTGTGGTTTGGTTGCCCTGCGGAGTGACTACAGGACGTCACAACGTTGGCCAATGACACGACACGACATCGTTAGCCACCACTTACCCCTTGTTTTGAACTCTCAGTGGAATTTGGCAGGCACTGTCTTGGATGAAGAAGGGAAAAGAGAGGGGGAGGGTGGAGGGGAAGAGGAGGGGAGAGGGAAGAAATAATCCCAGACAGGAAGCTGAAGGGTGGTGGTTCCGATTGATGGCGGAGCTGGCCGAAACTTTGAAACTCTGTTGACAGCGAAAGCGAGCAAATGTGCGCATATGATAGATAGATAGATAGATAGATAGATAGAGAGAGAGAGAGAGAGAGAGATTATGATGGCCATACAAAGGCTTGAAGGGTTCATCCAACTTCATCGTCATCTCGCAATGCTGTACGGTGCATGTGGAGGGCGACGTATACCGGGTCAGTCCAGATACAACAATAATGACCGGACCTCTGTAGCACGGCGAATGTGCTCACACCCCTCCGTGTCCGCACGAACGGCTCGCGAACGTGTTTGGGGAAACATAATCTTTTTTCGTCAAAATATATATATATATATATCGTATATATAAACTCCGACGAAACAGTTTGTCACAGCCCCTCGTTTGTTGTTCTCTTCTCCCTCTCTGCCTACGGTTTACCGGGCAGTTCTATTTGACGATATATATATATATATATGTATCCTACCCTTTAAGCGCGGTGGGCCCGCGGGGGGGAGGTCGTGTTCTGCTGCGTGCCGGAATCGGCCTGAAGTTTTGATTCGGGCCGGCGGATGAAGGCGATCGAGGGAGGGGCGTTGTGCAGAGCGGCGTGCGTACCGAATTGTTCACAGCGCGCCACTAAACGAGAGAGCGCGCCCGCGGGGCCGGGTACACGGCCGGCGTCGATGCGCATCAATATCCAAACGCGCCCGCCGTCGGATAGCAAGAAAGCGTCGTTTCGTGGCCGGGCCCCTTTTTTTTCTTTTTGGTTTTGTATTGTTTTCGCAATTTCGTCTTTTTGATTTTGTATTCTTTTTGCATTTTTTTTCCCCCTTCCGGCGT